AGAAGGTGCTCAAAGAACCATCTTCTAAATATTTAATCTCAGAATTAAAAAAGCAGCCTTGAAAGTGTAGTATGTTGTACTCAGAACTACACAACTGTTAACAAACCAGCTGATTTAGACCTAAGAACTCTCTTAAAATGCATCAGATGCCTGACAAAAAAAAAGGAATGAGACATTTAGTCCTATTTTGTGTAGAAAATGTGCTGAGATCTTAATTTCTGGAGTTGTCTGTCATTGTTTCCATGGTGCTGCTTGTTCTGGGGTTTTTTTCCTGAATATAGATAATAAATACAGATGACTTTTTGGCAGTGATTTCTTGGATGACAAGTTGTTATGAGTGCCTAAATTCAGCCAGTTGATAAGTTGTTAAAAAAAGAAGGAGCAAAGAAGCTCACACTTCTGTTCTAAAAATTGCTGAGACAAGACAGGCATGTAAACATTGAGACAGTAAAATTACCAAGAGCTGGTTGGAAGTCATATCCTATAGTGCTAAGAATCTTATTTTTCTGTACAATAATTTTATCTTTGGTAGGACAAAGATAACAACAAAGAGGATCAGAATTCAGAAACTGAGAAGGAAGTAGACAACAGAGATACACAAAGGATAGATGAAGTCAAACTACAACAGAATGGGAACTGTCAACCAAATGAAGAAAACCTCTCAATTAAAATGGAGGAAGTTTAAAGCAAAGAATGGACTTCTGATTCATCTATGGAATGAAAATCCAAAGCATTTTATTTCCCAGAATGAGGAAGAAAATGTCAAAGCAATCAACCTGAACATGTTGATAGTACTAGTAGCTCCTCAAATTCTTGTGATAGCTTTGTTGTCTTCTTGCTGTGAGGCAAGAGAGCACGGACCAGTAGCTGATGCCATCAGAACTGTTCATCTCTGAAAATCCATGCATTTCCATGATGGCTGTACCTATTTGTATAATGATTTATGTTTTAAGTCTTGCTATAAGCTGTTACAAATAAGTAGAAACTGAAAGATGTAAACCTGTACTTCCCAAAAAGAGCTGCAGATATACATTGAAGGGTGTTTAAAATACTGCTTGTTGGTGACTTTTTTTGTATTGTTTTGCCCTGTGGGTTTTAAAAAATGTCCACAAAAACTTCAATGTGTACTGTTTGATGTGCTTGGAAGTGGTGGATAAGTATACACACTTTCTTTCCTTGTGAATGACAACTGTAGGGAA